AGGACCCCGGAAAGCTCCTGGAGAACAAACCGTCCTCGATCCATTCCGGCCCCGGCCCTCACACTTTCACTATTTGCCCCGAGGAGAGGTGGGTTAACATGGATTTCTCGGTGGTAGGAGAAGCGCCTTGATCAGGGCTCTCGATTACATATACTTTCAGTTTTGTACCACGTGTAATCACCGAGATATCCGTATGTAAGTACCCGACCCGAGCCGGTATGGATTTTTGTCGGTCTGGGGGGGCAAAAGTTACAAATCACACATTTCCCAAGCCACCAGTCATGTTCAGGGTCAGACATGTGTACCATCTGATAGCCCTCGTTGAGGCGCATCTTTTGCACCTGTCACATCTCTGGTACCATGTGACATGACTTCACAAAACACCGGTATCCGAAAACCCCCTCAGGACGGTTTGTTCTCCAGGAGCTTTCCAGGGTCCTGGTGATACCGATTATGCGGAGTGTGATCTTTATTCTTCTTAACTTTAATTGCGGAGAGTGCTTTTAATAACTTTAAATTAACTTTGTAGATCTTGCATATACTTCTTGCTTTGAAACTTTCTTCGTACTGTTTTGATTTCTTCTTTTTTCTTAACTTGAACTTGTGACACTTGAATTCAGACTGTCGATTGATTAGACGTTGCAATATGTTAGAGGCTCAATAGGATCTTGTCGAGAGTCTGAGAGAAAAGGGCCTTCAGGTACTATTACGAGATTGCAACGTGAAGACTGGTAAATCTCTGACGAGAGAGAGATAAGTACAACTGAGGTTTGATACAAGCATATATAGAGTATAAGCATAATACTCGTAAAGGCTCATAACAGGCGGCTGGGCACTAAAGACATAATATTCTGATAATCACCACATGCAACACTTTGATCAAGGGCTCTAAAGTTGATCCAGAATTGCTTGACCAAGCCCAGACTTACGCATGTAACTGAGTCCCCTGTTGAGCCAGTATCTGATCAGCTGTACTATGTAGCTCAGGTCAAACTTGTTGGATTAAATTGATTTCAATCATTAGCTTCAAGAACTTGTCATCGTGTGTTAATTTGAAGTCAAGGTAATTGGTATTTTCATAAAGTGATCTTGTCGAAGTCGAGATAACTTTAATCCTCTTGATCATCTCAAGGGAAGAGTAATTCAGTGGTCGGAGTAAGTCGTAGGAGTTGTAGAAGGTGTACACGGATGTATTTTTCTTTTTGTGATTTGTGATATGGCTGTTTTTCGTTATAACTGTTCCTCTGTCTACCTTTAGAATCTTTTTCCCTCATCGAAGAAAAAGATTCTAAAGGTAAGGTCTTTATTTATTATTTCACCTTTCTCTTAAACCTAAGTATTAATTAAATACTCATCTGTTATATCTCGTTACTACACTGTTAGTTTTGTTTCTTACTCTTCGTTCAGGTTTGTTGAGTTTAATACTCTCTTCGTCTAAGTCTCAGCTGTGTCTCGTCAACACAAAAGCTGAAGTGTGTTGTCACCTTATTGTTAAAGGTTTGTTGAGTTTAATACTCTCTTCGTCTAAGTCTCAGCTGTGTCTCGTCAACACAAAAGCTGAAGTGTGTTGTCACCTTATTGTTAAAGGTTTGTTGAGTTTAATACTCTCTTTGTCTAAGTCTCAGCTGTGTCTCGTCAACACAAAAGCTGAAGTGTGTTGTCACCTTATTGTTAAAGGTTTATTCTGTCAAAATCTTACAAAACTTGACAAAGTCCCTTGCTCTTTGGGAGTCCCAAGAAGCTTCTTGTGTAATACCCTTGGAGCCCAGAGTATCCAAAGGGCAACTCAACATGCAAGCACACACAAGTGAAAATGGGTGCAAGTGGTCTGTTGATGCTTGTATTTGATGTAACTAATTTGGGACATGACAAGACATCACCCGTCTTCTGGCTGATCAAGCCCATGAACTTCTGCACCACATCCTCCCATGTCACCCTTCTGGCCAGAGATATGACAAGTAACCTGCCTTTTGTGAGGGACATTTTGTGCTTGCAATGCCCAATTTGAACTAATCTAGTCCTCCACAAAGGCAAAGGGAGGATTTTCAAATCTCAACTTGTGACAGAAATCATCTCTCCTGCTTTCCTGCCTTGTGTGGGCAACTGTTTGTGCTTTTGATTCCTAATTTGATAAATTTTAGTTCTCATAAAAGGCAAAGGGATGTTTTGCTCTCAATGATGTGGCTTCTGCTGAATTATTGAAACAGATAGTGACAGATATCAACTCTCCTATACATGATTAGATAGGATAACCTGTGATAACATCCCACCAAGGCTTAGAGCAACTCTGTGCCAGCAATGCAATGCGCCGCAACATGCGTGTTTTTTGGTGTGTTGCTCTGCAACACGCAACAAAAACCAGCTCCAGATGCTGTGTTGTGGTCAGTACCACAACAGAAAAAGGTGAGGTCAGGTTGTGCGGTACCTCAACCATTGCACAACAGCGCCTCAAGAACACTGAATTGTATTTTTGGCAGCAATGCAACAAATGTTGTTGTGGCCCAAAAGAACCATTGATTTGACAGATCTTGTTGCACAGCAGATCAGGCCGCAACCTAGAAATTGATTCTCCGCTGTGGTGTGGTCAGAAAAACCACAACGCAGGCGCAGCACAGCACGCAACACCTGCATTGCTGGCCCAGGCTTGCTTAGAGGCTCTTAACAACGGGTATATCAGTTGTTCAATTGACTTCAATAGCCAGTATAGATAGAATGACCCATAAGGTTGTTTGCATCCTGTTACAAATTCCCCAATACTCATCAACTGAGGAAATGGAGTTGTAATGGTATAGGTTTGTTGAGTTTATACAATCATACAAATATGGATATGGTACACACATTGGTAATGAATTGCCAATCATGCAACGTAGTTATGACAAGCTAATGCATTTTCCCACAGCATGTGCAGATAAACCAATGACAACAGCTGTGTTGGTTTGCTTGCAGCCACTTGTTTGCACATGCTTGCATGCTGCATTACCCTTTGACTTCTCTGTCAGAGCCTGCGGCGGGGGGAATTGTGAAACATTGTAATTCTTTGCTTGATATCACATCAGAGACTGCACAAGAAATTTGAATCAAGGAAAGCATTCTTGTATGTGAATATTGTACAAAGATTTCATCAAACACCTCACTAAAGTGATGACCAATCTTGGTCTTCAAGCTTCACCACAAGTGCATAAAGGGGGACACGTGGCTGGTGAGGCTTTGTAGGAAATCTGTCAGAGCAGGGATTTGATTAGGATTCAGATCAAAATTTGAATCTAGTCACAATCCCACAAATTGAAATTCTCACCTTTGTCCAAGAACAATTAAGAAGAACTTGGACAAAGAGAGAAGAATTTTGAATCCGTTGCTCCTTCAGGTATAAGTAGCAATACATGATGATTAAAGTTGAGTTCACAATGATTACATTGATTATTGTTAGCATAACTTTTACAGACATGCCATGAGATTGAAATGAGGAAGAAATTACACAATCATAAAGGTTCATAAACACAAAATCTGAATTGAATCAAACACCTTTACTTTGTCAGGCTTTTGTAAGGTAGGAGAAGTTTGGGAAAGGACTTTCAGGGGGTATGATGCTCATGAGCTAGCTAAATGATACACCATGAGCATGTCACGTTCACCATTTTCAATGTTATCAATGAATTCTTGAAAAAATTATGTACATCATTCATACAGACTGGCAAATGGACCAGAGAATCTAGTGTAGGATTGAAGCAAAGGAGACTTGTCCCCAATAGCATGCTGACCTTTTACAAAAAATACCACTGCACAGTCAAAAGGGTTGCATAGTTGGGACACTGAATTCAAAAAAAACAAAGACCATTGCAAACTAGGAATGCAACCAGAAACAAAGACTATCAGAAATTCAAAAATAGGAATAGAACAGACTACATCTAATCTGCAACACAATTTTTATCTTTTGCCGTGTGACATTAATGTTGGCTATTGTACCTTTTTGTTTTGTATTGTGCTCATGAGATTCCATCCTCATTGCACCCTCAAAAGAGCCAATACCAACACCTTTCTAAAAATGAAATTCCATCCCACCCCACATAAATCATTCAACATCACACGGCTCAGTACATTTGAATTTAGAATGTTCATTGGCTAGTAGGTTCAACCAGAATAAGACCATATTGAGATTATGACCTATCAACATCACTTATTCAAATACTTGTAATAATGCCAAGATCTCTGTCCCTATGTGTTATAATACAATATTGGGTTGAAATTTTAGTTGGAGTTGAGGATATTTAAGGCTGACACTTGGTTGACCACTCAGGTTTTGGGTAAGGCATAACGGGATTGACTGCATGTTTTATGTTGTTGGAGAATGTAAGTTACTCTGTCAACCACAGAATTAGGAAGGTTAAGTAATTTGTCAATTGAAATGGTGTGGGCATGTCTCCACATGGTCTCTAGTCTTTTCAAAGAAAGACTTCTGGGGCCGGCATCTAATTTTTGGACGCAGCCCCAGTCAAGCACCTGGCTGGGTATGTAGGGCACTCTATGGACCCTGAATGCTGCTATTATTACTACAGAAGCTCAATAGTGGTACACAAAGTTACCACATGAAAAACCCACATGAACCCACATGGATTTTTTGACTTTCCCTGCAAAAACCAAAAACTCCATGTGGTTTTTTCATGTGTTTTTCTCATGTGGGTTTCAACTTTGTGTACCACTAGACAAATCCGGCCCTGGTCATAACTTGACGTGAGTCCCTGAAACCGCGGCGTCCCACGGGAGGGGGGCCCTGGAGCCCTGGTCAAGCGCTGCTCAGTGCCGACCCGAAGTCGACAAAAGCGTCCAAGATTTTTTGTTGATCACCACCGATTATTAAGGCGGCCATTATTCAATACCACACAATCTCTGGACGATCGCTACATTTGTCGAGGAGTTTCCGTCAGGGTTCGAAAGAAGGAAGAAACCGATCGAGTGAAAAACAGAACCTCTCCAACCCGTAAGAACTTGTGATCAATACGACGATGGACATTGAAAAGCAGATGAAGGTAGCTGCATCAGCTTATCAAGATGCTCAAACAGGTTCGTCAAGATCTTACTTGATTTACAAGACAATTTTCCAATACCTCAGAGATACCTGAATGAAATTAAACCAAACTGATCTGATTCCTCAAAGAACTTTCCAATCTGATTAGTAGTCGTAGAAAACTTGAATCTCAACTGACTGAAAACTTATCAGTCAAAGCTGAATTTGATCAATTACCCAATGAAGTTGTCGATGAAAATTCACCTGACGTTAGAAAAGTTTATAAATTAGTTGCTAACATACTTATTAAACAAGATACTGCTGAAGCTAAAACTAATGTGAATCGTAGAATTGAAATGTTAACAACTGAACAGTATGTCTTTGTATTTTCTTTTTTTATACGAACTTGCTTTTGACTATTCTTTTCAATGATCATAGATCGAAGGTAGACAAAAAGATCTCTACGTTACAAGCGGATCTAGAAAAGAAGAAATTAGAGGTGAGCAGATTTAAACTTTTCAACCCGATCGTAGTTGGCAAACTACGTGTCTCCCCGAATTGACTGATGATCTCATCTCTGAACAATTTAGCTGGTTCATCTTCAGTCACAGATACAACAGAAACAAGGAACACCCAATACTCCAACTAGCCGGTCCACCTATTGCAGCAGTATAAGCTCCCCCGCATCGTGGCTCATCTTGGACTCTTCTCGCCGACCCACTTGCCTCAGTACAACATTCTCGAACTTGGAAGTCACTCGCAAGCGCAATGATTCCTACGTGCGATCAAAAAACTACAATGTACTTGGGAAGCACAGGTATTTGCAATACTGGGAGACACTAGTACTGGTCCTCATCGATTCATGTAAAATGCTCCTCTGTCTTATAGTACACATATTTTACAGAAAAGACTATACAAAATTATATTCTAAGAAAAACAGTTAGGCTCTCTCTTTACCATTTGGTGCAGGGTGTATGATAATCTAACAAAAAATTGAAACTCAATGAGCGACAAAATGATTGAAATCAATAGATTCAAATCAGAAAACTTACATCAACTGGAAATGGTACAACATCAGAACTTGTGATAGCCGGAATATGATCTCTTTGACTTAGCACAAAGCCAACTAAATGCGAGGAAAAGTCAGAGAGTTGAGATTGAATAGATTTGATGATTTGATCACTATCTAAAAGATAAAGTCAAGATCCAAATGAGCACATTTAATTGTTGAGAATCAGAACTTTCATTACTTACCACCCTCTAATTGATGAGCTGTGTTAGATTGAGTGATTGTAAAACCTATCTCCCAACGTTCCCAAATCACATCTTCTTCCGCAGCTTGATACCAAGGTTTATTGGCTCGATTTGAACGTTTTTCTAAAAACCGCAATGAGAGCTTCGGACCGGAGATTTGTGAAGCGTTTTGCAGAATCATAGACCAAGTAAGAGAATCAGTTAACAAGTTTGTCTAAAAGTAGAATAGATTAGGCGAATGAGATCTTACAATTTGTGAGGTCTTATGATCCAATGCTTTGAATAAGCTTTCTGTTCTCTCTTCAACCAGACTTTCAGTTCCTGGTTCTAAGACTTGAGGCTGCATGGAATCACAAGAAATGTTCAAAAGTTTTCTATCGACCCATGAGAAAATGATGACGGCATACAAATGTTAATCCTAAGACTTCTATGTTCTTTGGTTGAATTGATCCAAAGACGCGTTGGAATAGGATCGAATGAAGTATCGCTATAAGAAATCAAAGAAAGACAGAAATGATGAGGTCCGAGGGCTCAGCTTTGATAGGATGATGTTACTTTGAGCGTACCTCTGATCACATCTCTTGCTACACTTCGAATAATGACCTGTAAATTTTAGACGGTGATCGAACCAGTGAAGGCTTCTTTTGAGTCAGCCTTTCTAATCAGAAGTTCTGTCAAAGTGAGTTTGCCATACAAATTCATGTCGGAAGACTGGGGCAGTACTAGTTCCCATGATCTTTGATATTTCTTGATGATTGAGTTCAGAATGGATTCAACAAGATACTATCACCGCATACATTCACCCCTGATGAGGGATTGAAAAGCCCCGAAGCATGACCCATCGGATACTCCAAGCTCGGGTCAGGGATGATAGAAAGTGATGAACCGAAGAGAGTGCATACACGCTTGACCCGTGACCATCCTCGCTCTTGATCTGATTTGATTTGACACTTGCACTTGAACTTCATCTTTAGCTTCAGAAACCAAAAAAAAAACAAGACCATCAAAAGTAAGTAAACATGTTCAATCGGACTAACATTCTAAGTAAATCAAAAGTAGAACGAAGAATCTGATGGAGAATGCTAATTAATGAATGATTTGATTTGTGAAGTAGATCGATTGGTCAATTCTTCAAAATGGCAGAAGAACTACCACCACCACCACCAACAACAGCAGCAGATCAAAGTAATCAAGGCAATCAACTTGAAATCGGTAACACTTTTCAAAACCAAGAACAGCAATTTCAATTAAACCCAAATTATCAAAATAATGAAAATCATAAAAGACCCAGATTAGATCAACCTTCAGTCTCTCCACAACAACTACAAGCTTACCATCATCAACAACAATTACAACAATTAGATCAATCTCAACACTTACTTCCTAATCCAAATCAAAACGAACATTCATCGCGCGATCATACCCCTTTCTCATCAATACCCGCAGAAACTCAACCTATTCAACAACCTCTTACTTCCTTTTCTTCAGCTCCTACTCAACAACTACCTTCGATCACCAGTAATGCTCCTGAATCGACCATTCCATCTTTCGATTCTGGTTCACAATCAGCACCCAGTCAACCACCACCACCACCACCGATAATCGAAATCAGCAAACAGAATGCACCATCTGTCACGTCTCCTTCTCCAAAAAAGAAACCAGAAGAGATAGCTAAGCAATACCTTTTATCACAAACTCAACCGATCATCATCCCATCCTATGCATCCTGGTTCGATCTTGATACCATTCATCCACTTGAACAAAAGGCTTTACCTGAATTCTTCAATGGTCGTAATCGATCAAAGGTTCCATCGATCTATAAAGATTACCGTGATTTTATCGTTAATAGCTATCGACTCAATCCTTCCGAATATCTCACTCTAACTTCGTGTAGAAGAAACTTGGCAGGTGATGTATGCGCGATTATGCGCGTTCATGCTTTCTTAGAGCAATGGGGTATCATCAACTATCAGGTTAGAATTATTTTGTCATCTTCATTGTCTACCATTCTCTTTCATACACGCGTATCTGTTCATCCCTTTGTCATACGTTCATCGAAGGAGTTTTTGACGCGCTTTTGCTCTTGATTCGCAAATTGACTAACTCTAGGTCGATGCTGATACGCGTCCAGCCCCCGTTGGCCCTCCCTTCACTGGACACTTCCGTGTACTTCTCGATACTCCACGGGGTCTTATGCCGCTCCATTCCGGTGTAGTCACTAAACACAATAAGAACCCTCCAAACCTTCTCACTCCCGATGTACCTCATCCATCCCAATCATCTGAAACCACTCATACTTTATACAATCATGCACTTCAAATCCGCAAGAACATCTACGAGCGCACCGAGACAGGTCACGAAGTAGAAGTGGATGAAGCCAAGGTTCAAAACATGCTGCAATCAAATGGGACTACCAATAACGAGCTAACTGCTGAGCGTAGCCCGATTCAATGCGATGTCTGTTCAGTCGAATGTACCAAACTCTCATACCACCACACCAAACTTCGCACCTACGATCTATGTCCAGGTTGCTATAGCCAAGGTAGATTCCCTAGCACCATGAACGCTGCCGAGTTTATTAGAATGGACCGAGACCCTTCAAACCCACCTATCCCAGCAGAATGGAGCGACCAAGAACGTTTACTCTTACTCGAGGGCTTGGAGATGTTTGCGGACGATTGGGAAAAGATTGTAGATCACGTGGGTGGCACTAAAACGAAACAACAATGTATCTTAGAATTCTTGAGATTACCGATCGAGGATGAGTTCTTGAAATCCGTCGAAAAGGATGTGGGAGGACCTGTGGGGTTAGGAAAGATGCCATTGAATGGAGTCGAGAATCCAGTAATGTCAGTCTTGACTTTCTTGATGAGTCTAGTCGAACCGGATGTCACAGCAAGATTGGCAGGTACTTCAATTGAGAATATCAAAGAGGACATCGAAAGCGAGTTAGTAAGAGATAGCGAAAACTTGGCTAGGAAGGAAGTGGAAGAGGAGAAGAAAAAGCGGAAGGCTCCTGGTGATGATCGAGTTATCCCATCCGGTAGTTCTCGAGCAGAAGATATGACGACAATCCAAGATGAAGGAGAAGATGGTAACACGGCCATGGAAGTTGATGAACCGACAATGAAAATTCAACCCATCCAAACGACATCTCCCAAAGTTCAGAAGCCTATCGAGAAGATGGTAGGGATCGCACTAGGTTCAGCAGCTACAAAAGCTTCAACTCTAAGTTCAGAAGCAGATTCAGAGATGAATAAATTACTCGGTAATCTAACAGAACAGACCGTGAATAAATTAGAATTAAAATTACAACAATTTGAAAAACTCGAATCATTAGTTGAAATTGAAAGAAGGAATTTAGAGCAATTTAGACAAAGTTTATTGATTGAACGGATGACGTTAGTTAAAGAGATTGGAAAAGCAAGAGATTTGGAAAGTGGAGGAGTGAAAGCTAAAGAAGTTGAAGGTTCTGATGTCACTAATTCAATGATGAATGGTGGATTAGGAGTAATGGAAATTGCTTGAGTGAAGGAAATGATGAAAAAAAGTCTATCTGAATGATTCATTGAGGAGGAATGGAAGATGAAAAAGGTATATAGAATTGGAAATATCAGAATGAGATCAAAAGAAAAAAGTTTTGTTGATTGATCGAGATTTCAGTCGTTTTATTATTTTGTAGTTTGTAATCTTTTGTTCAATGTTCCTTTTTTGTTTCCCAAAAAAAACAGAAAATGGAAAGAAGACCATTAAATCCATTTACAATTTTTGTTTTTGTTTTTGTTTTTTTGTTTGCTCAGAAGAGATGATGATTATTGAGTTTGTGTGATGATCTTAGGATCTGGGGATGAATTGGAACAAATTGTAATAGATCAGCAAAAAAGCAGAATGGATGATGACATGCACCAACACCGGGTCAGCTAAGCTATCTGTAGCTGTCACGCAGCGGAGCGTAGTGGTTTTTTAGCCCCGCTGCGTCACATTGGGAGCGTAGCTCTTTACTTGAGTACGCCGTAGCGCTACGGACCCCAGCAAGAATGACATTCTTTGAAAGAGCTGCGCTGCCGCTCCCGTAGCACCGTTACCCGGCACCGTAGCTCCTGGGCCGGGTACCAAAGTCCCCATCGGGTCACTAACTGATTCGCCAACAGGGGAACATCCCGATTTGGATATCTTATACCATACTCTCAATCTAACATCACCAACAGACACCATCACACCCTTTGACACCCCGATTTGGACTAGCTATCGACCCACGGTGGCCTAACCAACACACTTGCAGCTCGAAGGTCACGATGGCAGAAACGAATTGGTTACCAATGAGAACCAACTCAAAATACTTCTATGTAAGTCCACTCCTTGCTTCACGTTTCCTTCTCGCATCCTTTGAGCGACTTATTTTTTCAACTTACATCATTCAATTCTGACTTCGACTTCCTTTCTTCATTCTCTAACTTTCAGCTATTCAATTTTTCACCCTTCCTAAATAACCAACCTACCATGTCTTCAGTCACTTCAGAACGTCCAGCGCGCTCTCACAAGCAGACAAATAACCCCAGCATGATTGCCCCTAGTCCTGATTCACGCCGCCGTGTTACACTGGACAGTATCATCTTAGCACCTACCAAGTCTCAAAAGAAAAAAAAAATGATAGCTCGGTCTTGGTTGTTACCTCATCTGATGTAGAATTGGGATCTGTCGCTGGCGGTCGAAAGCGAAAGAAGGCTACGGTCTCAATTATCACCTCTGATTCTGATTCGGAAACGAGCTCTCAAAGTGTCCTTGTCACCAAGAAGAAGACGAAGAAACGTCATACTAAGGGTAAATTGTCAAAGGCAAATGAGGTCAGTCTTTCAATATCATTCTTTCTTTCCCTCATTAACACCTCGCTAAATCTTCTGCCATTCTTCCTTGTCATACTCAAACCATCAGACTCCTCCAGAAAACGTTACGACTGCAATGCTACGCGCTGATTCTGATTCCGATAATCAGAAGATTGAATTAAAACGGCGCAAGGTCGACCATCCTGATAGCGAACTTGGCAAACTGAAGGCTTATTATGGAACACCATTCCACGGTGTTGACTCCCGGGGCAAACACGATGTAAGTGCCTATTCTAGATCAACAAGGGAAAATTTATCACTGACAAAGCGTGGTTTGTTTGCATACATGATGTTACTATTAGGATCCCACTAAGGCTCCTTTATCTTACCCGTGTCGATTTTGTAAGAGAAATAAAGACGACCCAGTGAGGGTGAGTCTAAGTAATCTCACAGGCAACCTTCGAGTCCATCGAGACGGATCGAGTCAAGATGGACGATCCGATGTAGGCTGCCCTGGCCGCCTCAAGGCTCGACAGATCGATCCTTCCCTTGCTCCACCCTCAGTTCAAGAGACCCGTAAGGCACTTGCTAAGTCTAAAGGCCCAATTGACAACTTTGTCGTAGCCACATCATCTGCTCCCTTCTCCAATCTGACCCTCAATCAGATGGCCTGCACTTGGCTGATTCGCCAAGCGCAACCATGGAGCCGAATAGAAGATCCGATCTTGCGAGGTATGATTCGGTACCTTTGGAAGGAAGCCAGTTTGTACGGAAGACGTTGGGCCTGTAAGACCTATGGTCATTACACATCACCAAATACAAACACTTAATAATTAACACTTAACTTAGGCCTCTTGTTTTCATTATCTATAAAGTTGTTTTCGAGTCCTTCTTGCTTCTGGTTCCTTAGAGATATCGGGACTAATCTCCTGCCCTTTATCCTTCGGAACCAGGTATGATTTCATTACTTCTCTTTTCTCAATTTCTCTCTGATTACTAGATAGCCTGCCTTAGAGATATCGGGACTAATCTCCTGCCCTTTATCCTTCGGAACCAGCGCTTTCCGTCGATATTGAAATTTACAGATTAGCTCTCTTGGGTTCTAGAAACCTTTGCTGTGCTCTTGCACAGTGTCCCGTCCGTCGTATCCAGTGAAGGTTCTCACGAACCTTACACTTTTTTTTTCTCAAACCCAAAACGAAAATCCGAAAAAAAAAAAATTTTACTTCAATTCAAAATTAATACAACCGATACGTCAATTCAGCTGAATGCGACACATCAAACCAATTGAGTCCGAAACAGTTAACTAAACTCAAATTTCTTACGCATTCAACTACCCCACAATTGATCGTCGTGTATGCCGGCACGTCGATTAGCTCCAACCACCAAACCTAACGGCCCGCCAGAACCTCTGCCAGATCCAGAAGCGATTATACGCGCGAATCGACGACTGCACCGTCAATCCAGACCAGATCCAAACATCGCCAGACAAGCCATCTCTCAACAACAACAGCCACTCACGCCTTCTCGTAACCGAACAGACCAAATACTGCCAGTGACCCCAATCCATCGCCGTACCGAACCTTCTGCCTTGCCTCCACTGCCAGAGTCAGACGAATCGCCGTTGTCCTCTTTACCACCGTCTCCTACGCCAGGCCGCATCTCACCTAAACCTTTCCCGAAGATGACCGACCAACCTACCAAGCCAGGTAATCAAGACTCAGACTTGATGAAAGCCATCGTCGAATCCCAGCTAGCCAGTAATCGTCGAATGGAAAAGTTTGAAGATTTGATGATGAAGCTCTTGGTGTCCAAGGAGCCGAAGCCTGGTGATGATACCCCGGATGAATCCAAACCACCCGGTGGATTAGACTTAGCGAAGTTTCGCACGTCGGATGGGCCTGTATATAAGGGACCATACCGTGACGCCGAGCCGTTTCTCTTGTGGTATTCGTCATTGAAAACATTCTTCCGCACTAAAGGTGTGACGTTGGACAAAGACCGAATTACGCTAGTCGGGAATTTCCTAGAAGAGCCGAACGCCCACGCTTTCTACGAAGGGGGTTTCGAAAAGTTTATCATGGGGACTTGGAAAGATTTCCTCGTCCAACTTTTTGACTCATGCTTACCCGGTGACTGGAAGGAGCGACTTTACGAGAAAGCTCAACATTTGAAGATGTCGCCATATGAAGACTTTATCTCCTATAGCACCAGAGCTCGTGGTATCCAGATTCTGATCAATTTCCATACTATCATGTTGAACGATCATCAGCTAGCGACCTTTGTAGAGTACGGGATGATCGAAGAACTGAAGACAGCCGTCAAGTTGTGGGGGTTTACGAGACACACTAAGGACTTTGCTTATCACACCTTCGAAAATCAGTGTGAAACTCTCTACGCCTCTTTAGTCGCTTCTCACGCCATCACCAAGAAGACCAGGACGTTTCCTACCACTGCATACAATCACAACGCTTCACAGAGTCGCCCTAGGATCGCCGCGACCAACACTCCAGGCAGATTAACCGATGAAGAATTCCAGTGGAAGATTCATTCATACTTAGATGTTCTCGGCAAGTGTCATTTCTGTAAGGGGTACTGCGGTAGCGAGTACCGAGCCTGCAGAGGCCCTTATGTTAGGGAGAAGGTTGTTTTTCCTCCTGGGTATGTGGCTCCTCCGAAACCGGCGAATTACGTCCCACCTAAAGCTAGATCGTCGCCTCCTGGAGCTCATAATCAAGCCGGCCGAACCAATCAACCGCCAGCGGGACGACCAGCACAGTCTTATGCGAAAGTGGCGGCGGCTGGAGAATTCCCAGATATGGACGAAGCATCAGTGGCAGCTCTACAAGCTCTAGACGACGAGCTCGACTTAGCAGAAGCCGAAGGGTGCGTTCCCCCCCCAAAGTCTCCTCGTGTCATAATTGAATTCAACTGCAATGGCAAAACCATACGAGCGCTAGCTGACCCAGGGGCTGAGGTTAACCTTCTGACAGATCGGGTGGCAGAGGAACTTCGCCTTAATCGGAGGAAACTTGTGAAACCAACGCACCTCAGCCTTGCAGTAGCCACCGAATCATCTCCTGCGCCTTTGACTCATTTCACGACGATCAACCTGACTGAACCAACGTCAGGAAGACGGTTCGATCGTACATATTGCAAGTTAGGGGATGTTGGAGGGGGATTTGATATGATCTTAGGAACTCCTTTCTTCAATTTATTTCAATTATCTGTTTCTGTCAATCAACGTGCTATCACTTGTGAGCGAACTGGATTTAAAATTTTTGATTATCGAGTGTTGGAGGAAATAAAAGAAAAACATGCCAAGCTGTTGATTCCACGTATCACCGAGCCTTTGAAAGAGTGCAGCGAGCCCTGGGAGTGTGAACTGAGTGTGCGAGAGGATCTATCATTGATGAGTATAAATGAGAATAGTGAGGCTCAAATACTTGAAGAATTCAGAGACCTGTTTCCTATTGATATACCGGCAGTGTCAGATGAAGCCGAAGACGAAGGACTATTTGTTGACGCGTCCTTTCCTGAGA